AATTTCTCATCTTCCCTTAAAGTGCTACTGATGTGAATTCAGTCACTGAGCTTGAAAGTGGATTTGGTAGTTTGGTTATGATAAGCCCTTTTCTTCAAATACTTTTAAAAATAAACTGTCCAGAATAAATACATAAAGCCCCCCTAAAAACTACACAGGCTTCTTCATCATCTTAATTTATAAGGTTTTTGTCTTTTCTGCACTTTGGGACGAGTGCTATGGGAGTTTAGGATTCATGTTTCTGCTTTTCTATTAATTACTGCATCATGGGTGCATCCTGAAGTTAAAATTAATAAACCAGGAACAGGAACAAAAAACCCCACTCTAAGTTACCCTGAGTAAAGAATGCAGAATCTAACCCTTAGTTAGGTCTATGTGCCTGCAGCCACCAAAACAGAAGTGAAAGATCTTGCAAAAATAAAATAGGTAAGAAGACCTTGAGATTGTTTCATTTTAAAGGTGATCACACAATTTCAGAATTTCTTCCTTCTCATTAACTGCCAAACAGGTACTGCTAGCTCTCACTGTATAGGCTGCCTAAGCAAGGCTGAAGACATGAGGGAAGGTGTTAACAGTAAGGGCAGATGGTGTGCAGTCTAGACACAGAACACAACAAAGCCTTTCAGGCATCGGTATTTTCCCTTGTTAAAAATGAAAACACTTAGTTTATTTCAAAATAGCCATAAGGGAAGTTAGTGTGGAACAGGATCATTAACTCAGCAGTGAAATGATTTGAGTACAACCTGCCTCCAGTACCCTTTTCAACTTTACTAAAAACGAATGAGTGGAAAAACCAAAAAGTGTCAAAAATAATTCTGGTGAGATACACGACTGGCACATATTTCTTTAACTTATTTGTTTCACTTACTGCCTTAAGTGATTTTAATACTACAGCATAAACAATGCTAAGTAGATTTTCTTTCTCATTTGGAGCAAAAACTAGAAATGCCAAACAGAATCCTAAAGTTTTAGTCTGTTTACTTCTTACAGTTTGAGATGTCAGTTTTGGTTTATATAATCATTAGGAAGAAAAAAGTGAAGTTGAGTATGCTCCCCAAGAGTATACATTAATGTCACATGCTGGTGCTTGCAATCATACCTTAGTCCCACACAAGGAACTTTAGTAGTATCCATGTGGAACAGGCTTCCTTTGTGCTTCTATTAGCTTCTAATATATGAGTAGACTTTTGACAGCTCAAAGACTACAATCTATTTTCTGAAAAGTAGAACAAATTGCTGCACTAAAAACCTACCAAAAAATCTATTACATTCTAATGGTGGTGGCCTAACATTTAAAGTGTTGCATAGTTTCTTATAAATTTTCTCTACTCACAAGGGCATTCCATATAAAAACAAAAGAGAAAAACAAAGTCTCATTTGAAACAGTTAGCATGTTTGCCTTAAAAAGTGGCAACTAACAGAAAAAAAATAATATCAAATGGGACATTAGCAATTAACATTACCTAGTTCTGACAGGTTCCTTGATTTTTTTTTTTTTTTTTTTTAACAAAACACACACGAAAAACCTGCAACTGACTATTTAGGAAACAGACTATGCTTAGTTTTATAAAGAAGACCTATAGTGAATTACCTCCTAAGTGTCCAGGGGCCTGCCCTGCGGATCCAAACCAGCTGGGGGAAACATTTTTCTTACTGACCATGCTCCCTCCAGCCTAACAGCAAGAACCTTGAAAGGCATGATTTGTTCATGCTGCTCGGATCCTTAGAAGGATGGCACACTGCTGAAGGATTTTAGAAAATTTCACTGGCACTTCCACTTTCTGGGAGGTCTCATCGAAGTTTATATTTTTGGTTTTTTTTCTCATCTTTCTCATTTTCATGTATTGTGAGGATAAGACAGACTCAGAGTAAAGTCAATGTGGAATTACCTCAGCCCTTAGAATTGTTTTTGTGGATGACTACTAAAATAAATTGAAAGATCAGCTGAAAAACCCTCCGTTGTTTTTAAGGCCTGAAGAACCTTGCTCTTGATACGACTCCTTACCACATGAATAAGGAGTACCAGTAAGGTACCACTGTGGTACCAGTGAGGTATCTTGAATCCTGTAAAAGCCCTGAAAACAGGTATTGAGAATTCCCATGTGCTGTCTTCTTTCCACCCTCATCCTATCCCTCCAAAGGAAAAAGAGTTCAAAGGAGTCAGCCTAAGAAAAATAGTAAGCTACAAGATTAATCTTCCATTCTTTCTTCTTATGGCTCAAAATGTATTTCCTGATCTCTGGTTCAAAAGACAAAGCTCAGAATACACAATGGCTACAAGTAACAACTTTGCAGAGGAACACAATGAAGAGCTGTAAAGATCAGAAATGACCTGGTATCTTCATTAGGTAAGAAAAGGTGTAGTATAGAAGTGTGTTCACAGCCTTCTGTGGTTTACAGCTCTCCTTCTTGTCAATTCTTTATATCAAAAAGATAACAAAAAATTAGGCTGACATAATTTTTTCTTGCATTCAGCAGAAACATAAAGTAAATGCTTCACTAAAGCAATGGAGCACATTTATGTTGAAGAAAACAGATTAGGCTCTGTATTTGCCTTGTAATAGTACCTTTGCTTTCAATTTTTTATCTTCTTTCAGAACACAGAAGTCATTTACAGGAGTTTAAATTTCTGTTGTTTTCTCCAGCGATTTTACTTCATAATATTCCTCTGACTGTACAAGCTCAGCTGAATACATCAGAGAGTAGACTTATAAAATTCGTAGGTGTCATCATGCTGGGGTCAGGGGAGGTCAGCTACTCTGGAGGACAGAAACGAACTTCAGTCTCCACAGGCTGGAAAGAAAGTCTTCAAGGAATATAACTAAATGCAGTAATTATAACTGCAAAAAAAAAAAAAATCCCTACACTTTAATAGAAGAAAACCAGAAACAGCTAACAGTAGAAAGCAAGAAATTGCTGGGACATCTTAAAGGAGTAACCAGCATCATTGCTAAAATCTGTAGCATACAGTTTCTCCTCTATGTGCCTGAGAAATTCTTAATGAATGTGTGGGTGCTGCTTTTTATACTGTATGTACTGAGCAGCTGAATTCTGTAAGGTGCCAGAATTGGCCTAAATCACATGAATCACTGGCATTTCTGAGAATATGCAAAAAAAAAAAAAAAAGAAGGTTGTTCCCTTTTAAAGAACCCTAAACAAAGAACAAAGATCTGGAAAATATTTCTGTTCACTGGGGGATGTTACTGGTTTGCAGGGAATGTTTCCTTAAGTATAATTTGGAAGACTGTCTCAAACATGAACTCAAGTCTGATAAGCAGGTGATATGCCAACAGTGCTCTTCTCAAGGATGAGCAGTATAACTATTTTAAGGGTGGCATAACCCCTAAAAATTCAAGACGAATTTGAAATCAGCAAGTTTAGAAGAAACCATAGTGAAAGAATGGCTTAATTAAAGCAAGGCTGTAAACTAACTTTGTTTGTTCAATTAAAGAAGCAGGTGCAGACTAAGTAAATTTACTTATAGGCAAAACAGGAAAAACGAAAAGATAAAGAAGGTGGAACAATTTACAGAAGGGGGAGCTGATTTAATAACGGCCTAAGTGAAACAGACCATCTGGATGAAGTTGCAGAAATTGTCGCAAATCAAGGCAATTAAGAACTGCAGAACATAAAAAAAACTAACTGGCATGTGACACACACAAAAAAAGCACAATCCAGGAAACTAGAAGTATATAGCTACTGAAGCAAAAAATCAATAAAACTTCTTTGAGTTCTAAAGGGAAACATACATACATGGACAGCTGCTCAGAGAATGAAAACAAACACAACAAACGTCCTTTGCTTTTCCTGTGTTTGTGCTTAGCATTATGAATAATTAAAAATACTTTAAAACTCACACTTCTTTTCATTATTAAACTGAAATACAATAAGATGCTAATGTTAATGTAGTCCTCTGATTTCACTTGACTGTAGTTTTTAACTACTTCTCTCTCAAGCTGATCACAGACTTGCATGTCAGGAAGGACCAGTGCAAAGTGTCCAGCCTGGGAAGGAAGTCTCCTTTTCAGTGATCCAGTTTGGGAGTGCCTGGCTGGACAGCATCTGTGCAGGCAAAGCTCTTGGGGAACTGGCAGGCAGTGAGCTGTGGCCTGCAGTGCCTGTGGCAGTGATGAGTGCCAAGGGCATCCTGGGCTGTGCCAGCAGGAGCACAGTTTAAGGGAAGGGATTACCTCCCTCTAATCAGCACCTGTTAACTGCAGCTTTACTACTGCCCATTTTGGGCCCCCAGTAAAAAGATGTGGATAAAGGGAAGCGTATTCAGCACAGGGCTACTGAACTCGTCCTGGGGCTCCAGCATCTGTGCTGCCAGGGAGGTTAAGGGGGCTGGGCCTGATCAGCTGGGACCCAACAGCAGCCTCCAGTGCCTATGGGAAGGATATCAAACGGACAGATCCAGGCTATGGGTGGTGAAAAGACTTAAGACACCGATCATAAAGAAGCAACTGTATACCAGTTCAGACTGTGCACAAGAGAACATTTTTTCACCATGAAGACAGCCAAGCAAAAGAGCAGATCTAGGCTCCGTCTCCTAGCAGAGAGTTTTCAATTCCTGACTGAATGCTGAAATAGCAACAGACAACATTGGTTTAACCAACAGTGATTTGATCCCACAACTAATGTTGATTGAAGCAGGAAGTTGGACTAGAGACCTTGAAGTTGCCTCCAACCCAAATTTTCCTATCATCCTGTGAACATCAACTAATGCTGCACCACAGTAAACTACAAAATATATCAGACAGTACTGCATGGATAACTGAATGAAAAAAATATTATTACAGGATTAAAATAAGCTACAACTTCACTTTCACTATAACCAACATATAAGTAATAACTTGTAAAATCAATAAATTATAAACAGATTATGAAAATATTCCAAACTATGTTTACAATAACATTATGAGACAGTCCACTTCAAAATGCCACCCACTGCTGCCATTTAGTAGGCATGCAAAACTCTTCAGGGAATAGAACAGTCAATAGAGCAGCAACAGAATAAAGATTTATTTTCTTCGTCTCATAATTTTTTTCATAAAACGAGATTCTCTACCACAAAATTGTTTTTAAAACAGATAGAGACAGGCATGAAAGTCAGTCACCCAGAAAGCTATGAATGTGGCAGAACAACAAATTATAAAATCATAAACTGTTATTAGGCTACTAATAAATAAACATTGCTAATTCAACCATATAAATATATAATTTAACTGTGTGTGCTTATATATACATTTGTTTTTATAAGGCTGGACAATTTGCATTTGCAGAATAACATTTTGCCAACATCTAAAGTACATGTATTTACAGAAAAAGAGATGTGCAAGACAAAAGAAATATCCTTGAACTGTTCATTTTAAAACTCCAAGGGTAAATCATGTAAAACACTCCAGAGAACAATGACAGGTCAGACCAAATTATTTTCAGTGCTTCCTATTTAAGTCTATGAGATGTTATGCTCAGCACATTGGACCTTGAGATTGTTCTTTTGAGACATCCAATAGTCTACATTCAGCAAAGAGCACTTTCTCTGGTTTTGGTATTCCTCTCTGGAGGCCAGACAGGTAAAACTTGGACATGGTCAAACCTACTAAGTAAGTACTTGAAGACTTAGTTTAAACCTGCAGGCAGGCTTCCTATAACCTGGATGCATTTAAACCTACCATTTCCTACTCTAAAACATAGAAGGTATCACAAATGTGGGGTTTAGTTTTCAGATTAAGACACCTAAATGCATGTTTGTGGCAGTGAGTTACACACCTAAGCTCATGCTATCATCACTGTTTGGTTGTCTAAGCGGACACTTTGAAGTGACAGTGACACTAAAGATGCTTCAGGGTTATCAGAGGCATCTACAGGAAGAGAGAAAATGTGACACAAGACTTAGAGAAGATCTGCAGTCCTTTGGGGTAGCAGCTGGATACCCAGACTAAAACACTTTATTTCATAGATTAGATATCTCAGCCACAAGGAGACATCTAAATGTGTAAGTCTACCTTTGCACATTTTCATCTTGAGGCAAGTCCCATCTTAGTGAAAATCTCCCAGAAACAATAGACAACAATCTAGTAAGTATTCTGATCACAGGGATTGTTGCTCACATCAAAGCTCATCAATGTGGTTCACTGCCCTATTTAATTCTGCACTAAGCAGATAAGGAGAGCCCAGCTGACCAGCTAACAGCACTTTTGCAGAGAGGTGAGTGTGTGCCTAGACTGCTGCAATGGCATTGCAAGGGGGACTCTCTCTCTACACCTCAACACTTTCAAAGTGGCACAACTGTTCCAAATCCCTGTCACAGTGTAAGTGCCATGTAGTTGTGTCATCTCTGGATACAAAACCTTGTCTTTTTGCATGCTTTGAAAAAGAAAAATTCAGAAATCATGTCTCAAGCGAGCAGTTATTTCAAAATTCACATATTTCCCAAAATATCCATTGCTTTTTCAGTGGCCTAGAGAGCTTACTTGTGAGAAAGTGCTACAATCTGCAAAGAAGAAAATATGTGTCCCTTTTTGCCCGAGTTGCTTTACTAACAACAAAAATACATTTTGCCAATCAATGAGCAAATATGGTATAAAATCTAGGGTTGAAACTTTTCATTCAAATAACAGGCTTGAAACAATGCACATTTTGCTATTTTAAAGATGCCAGTATCCTTTTGCGTTTTGTGTCTTTTGGTTACTTACTATATTTGAATGGAGCTTTTTTTAAAATTAAAATGAAAATTATTATATCAATTAAATAATTGTTCATTTTGTTTATCCCTTTCCTTTCTGTTTTTGCAATCATGCTTTCAGTGATGTGGAGGAAGAAGGAAGAACTGATCCTCCACCAGAATGAAAGAAACAAACAAGTAAAGCAGAAACAAAAAGGGCACAGTAGTTCCTGAGCAGCTACCAAACTTACACACTGATTTATTTTCTTAAGTTTGGTTAAACTTATCTGATTTTCTCATGTGAATAGTCAGGAACGCTTGTTTTGCAAATCAAATATTTCTGTTGGAAGAAAGCTAGAAGAAAGCATTAAACAAAGGTTACAATATGGCATAGCAAATAGGAAGTTTAAGAAACAGAACAGGGGCCAGTGTCTTACCTAAGAAACACTCTCTGGGGAGCCAATTCACCATCAAAGCCACATGTTTTTTAAGTACCAACGTATTTTGCATATTTATAAAGCAGAGGTTTATTACAAAATAAATGCATTCAAATTAACAAGATACTGGTGTTTCTGAGAATTTTCCTGACAAAAAATTGATTGACAATTTCAAGGGGAAGGACAAGGACTAATGCTCAAAATATTTTGTATCTATAGTGAATATACATTTCTAGGAGACATAATAAAAATAAAACCTTGTTTATCTAACAGAAAAAAGAGCAATTAATTATAATAATTTTTCTTTAGATTTATCAAAGACTATGGTTCAGTTAACATATTGTTGAGCTCACACTTTAAAGACATTTAAAATAATTTCTGTTAAAATATGTTACTTTAATTATTACTATGAATATAATATCATGACACAGAAAAAAATCCCATTAAATATCAGATAATACGTAAATATACCAAAGGGGATTTTAGCAATATTCATTAATTTTGAACAGAAAGGTCTAAAATAACTATTAAATGAGTTACCCTTTTTAAGATTAAATCTCTGAAATCATTACTCAAACAAGAGCGAATTAGGCCTATTGTACCTAAACTTGTGCATACACAAGTAAAGCCAAGCAGTATACAATGAATGTAAGAAAGTTGTGAAACTGAGCACCAGATTTTATTTTGCTCAAGTAATGACTCATTTGATTATCAGTAACCAAGTCTTTCCCGTAAGATGTTTTACTGATAAGTTATCAAGTTTAAAATAAACATTTTTATTTCAACCAACCAGATAATGTCTCTAAATCATAGAGTAGCTACACAACTCTTAAAGGAGAGGCATTAGCCTCCTAACTTGTAAGCTCTACACAAATATTATGATTGTACTTTAAAATTCATAGTGTTTATTTTAAACAGCATCTGAAACAACTTTCTTTGTTTCATTTTCACTGTGTGCACAAACACCACCACACTGTTTTCTATTACAAGAAACAGTATTTATTGAAAATGGTGCCTGGATTATTACATTTTTTCTATATTCAGAATTGGAAATAAATTGCATTATCTCTAAAACTGCTGTAGAGAATAATAGTTTGAAGTAAGTGTTTTTCAATAAGGACAATATCACTGTCTGGCTTGAAAATTTTCCAATGCACTCCCACAACAAATGCACGGTTAAAAAGTAGGCTGCTTGTTTTAATCAATTTGCATTTGACCTGAGTTCAAAAGAACACTCACTCTCCACAAATATAAAGAAAACAAAGGGAATTCATCTGAGAGATGAAGAATAACTTGATCAAGGTTCTTCAGAAATTTGATTTTTTCTTCTCCCCCATAGTCTGAGCTGGAAATGTTACTTTCTTCTGTCTCATTTTGAAGAAGTTGCTCCAGAATCATGCACAAAAGAGAAATATTCTCATACTGGGGGATGTCATACACAGACTGGACCTGGGAATAAGAAAAATCAGTACATAAGTGGAGTGTGAAAACATTTCTGCAGCCTAACATCTCAGATGACAATTTAAGGAATACTGTTAAAATTGCAGTATTATTTATATAATCAGGACACCTATACATTCATACATTAGAGTATGATTACTTCTAAAAAATGTTTTCCTTTTTGTGGTAATAGTCAAACAACTAAGACAGCATCACACTACCAAACAAAAAGTCAACATAACCTTCTCTTCATGAGAGAGTTTGCTTTACCTAATTATCCACAGACTGTGACATACCATAGTGATGTACAGGAAAACAACTACAATAGCAGCTTGGTTTGTTTTGGGCATATAATTAGAGTTGGTGGATTTCTGAGTAATAAAATAACAAGCAAGAAATAATTTTTTACTCCTAAATATAGAAATTCATCTATCCAAGTGACACCTCCAAAAAGCAAATTAAAAGTCCAAATCTCAATGTCAATACAAAATGCACAAGCAAGGTTCTGAGCCCCTTAAAGTGGAATATTAAGTTTGTCAAATAAGCTGGAACAAGGACACTGACCAAATGAAACATTTTTTTAGAAGTCTTATAGCTTTATCCAATATAAATATACCTGTCCTGTATCTAGAAACCGGAATTTTACACAGAAGCTTTCTGTACATAGGAAATAACTGGCAAGATACAAACTTAAACCTTTAAGAATTGTCCCTCTGGAATGAAATTTTGTGTCCTTAACAGCTAAATCTACTAATAACATGAGATGACCTTGTTCTGAAAAAGACTGCAATTACAGTAGGTAGATGATCAGAATTGAAAGATAAAATCATAGCTGCTAGAAAATTAATAATATATTTTAGAAAATGGACCAATAGCTCTAGCAAATCTAAAGAACTGTTTAGATCCGTGGTACAAAGCTAGATGGGTCACAGCCTCAACATGGGTCTATGGAAATACATCAATTCATTTTCCTCAGTCTAGATTACATCCTGTAAGACTTTCCAAAGTGTGAAATCTATTATACAGTCATTGATTTCATAAAAAATATAAGTTATTTTTGATTCCACTAGAAGCTAAGAAAAAGACAGCACTTTACCTTCTCCAGCAAAAACTGAGGAAGATGTTGGCTCAGAGATTGCTCATTTTTCTTTCTGAGATAGCAGTTATTAAACCTAAAATCTCTGTTGAAGCACTCTGGGGTAATGGTTTTCAGGTAGCCTCCCGCCTCAGAGACAAAATTAAGACACCACAGCCATCCTATTGCAAAGCCTCAATGTAGCAAAAGAATTTTGATGAGTTTTGTAGAAATCTTGAAAATTAGGTTCATTACCAAAACATATCATCCCCAGCACTGCATACTCCTATTCTGTCTCTCTGGACCCTGCTAAGAAAAATCTATAGTTCAGAAGCTGCAACCAAGAATTCAGTACTGACATTCTTACCAGAACAGACAGTGAAAAATGAAAAAGTATTACACTGTTTCATAAAAATATATTAAGTATTTGCATATTTCTAAAGTTCAGTTCTGCCTATCAAACTGCCTGATTTGAGAAAACCACCTTCCAAATCACAGGCAACATGACAGTCTGTTTCTTCAAATATCAAACATCCAGCTCTAGGACAATCATGACTTTACACTGATTGTTTTAACTGTTAACCAATAGCGAGGAACTAAATATATTTACTTTGCTTATTAGACTAAACTACAGCTTTCAAAGTTGCAAATATAAGAGTTATTAATTATTTACTGAATTTCTAGGAAATAGATGATTCTGAAGCCCTAGAAAGTCTGCTCCGAAGACTTTCAGTGTAGGGGTCATCTGACCAAACACAGGCACCCAGAAGATGAGACAGTTATCCCTTATTCCTATTCCAGCTGATGGAGGGAAGCAAGGGGCAGCCCACAGTTGACTGAATGTAGATGTCTACTGCCATTTCACATGCCCCAGAGTAGCAGCTGTAAGCCAGGAGGAATACCTTAGGTGTGCTATTAGATGCCTGAGTTTTTGCTACTGAGTAGTTCCCAGGGTCCTTCAGCATGCAATACATCCCACTCCAAACTAGAACCACAGATATACCATGTCCTGGAACTCTACAGTGATAAAGTGTGACTGTACCCAGAAAAAAAGGTCTATGTAGAAACATAAATGGAAGTTCTATGCTCTTAGTTCATGTAATTTGGAACTTAAATGTACAACATTACAAGCAAAAATTATTTGATTCTCAAGCATTGGCTTTGAAAATTCACTCCTTTTACCTGAGCAATCAATATAAAATGTTTTAGAAAGGCAAATTATGTCACTTCACTTAGTCCCATAACCTCAGGCTCTTCCATGCAGTTAAGCAATTGTGTTATTTTCATTGGGTCTTAAAAGGTGCAACTAATTGCAGCTTAGTAAACTATCTGATTATGGATAATAGAACCACAAGTTAACTAATTAGCTTCCTCTACAAATACTACTGCATTAAAGGAAAATTGCTTTAATCATGCAGAACTGATATTGAAGAGAAAGGGTAAGTATAATTGCAAGAAGAAAGTATTTTTTGAGATAATTATTTTTCTGGAGACAAACACACTTTAAAATATTGCATTATATAACCAAGGGAAAATAAAATCAGTCCAGAACATTTTCTGGCTCAAGGATTATTATTAACCTTTCCAATCCATTTAATAATTTGAACAAAATGTGTCTCTATTTCTTTTGTTAGATGTCTTCTGTAGCAATGATTGATGCAAGTACTACCAATACAAATTTCTTCTGCATAATCAGTAAAGGGATGCCTTTACTGTTCCCTAATGCTGCAGAGTCAGATAATAGGCCTATTAATCTTGCCCACCAATTTGTGTGAATGGGTAGCTGTGCACATATGTGTACACACCAGAAAGTTCAGAGTGCATCTATAAAGCAAGTCTCATGTATATATATATATATATATATATATATATATATATATATATATGTATGTATATATATATGTGTGTGTGTGTGTGTATGTATATACATATGTATGTATGCATGTATATATATATATATAGTCACTGATGCTCACGTAAATGAAAAACTTACTTCTGTGCTCACTATGCCTGCATGTAAGAGGGAGACTGAAATGGTTTTCAGCATTTTAAAACAACAGTTCTAAGGAGTATATAATTATAACTACAAGTTCCTAAATCGAGCTATATTTGACAGCATCACCTTCTAAGAAAAATGATTCTAAATCAGCATAATGAAAAACAAGAAAAAAGTGACTGACTGGAAACTCTATCAATAAATGCACATTTGGTAAATTTTGTGTTTATGAAGGGAACGCTGAAAACCTAAGTTTTCAGTAGGATCAACACTGTTTTAATCTACTCATCCCATCTAGGTCAGAGGTTAATGGAAATATATTTCAAGAATCACTGAATTGTTTCCCCAAATCAATACATTCTCATTTTATGAATAAGGAAGTTTAATTCTCACAGGGAATTCTGTTCTTGACCCTTCAGTCTTCCTTTGAGAAATCCCTGTCCAGGTTACTTATTGCTTTGCTCAAGTGCTAAATACAAGAGAAACATTTTTCAGAGTATAGCTAAGAACATTTGGATAGTAGGCATTTTATTTCAAAACAGGACGGAAATTATCTTAAGTGGATGTTCTGCAAACATGTAAATAACCTCTGATCATTAAAATTTACAAACCCAACAATATCCACAGTATACAAAATCACAGTAGGATAAGAGATTATCTATAATTGTTGTTTAGTGTTTAAATAGCATGCAGATATGCATCTCTAAAATATTTAAGGCAGGCATACATGAAAGTATTTTTAAAATATTTTTGTTCTGTTTCTAGTACTACTGTGTTAAGATAAAAAGGTAATTACAAATTGTCATGATGCAGGGTTCAGTTTTTAACTGATTTCCATGTCTCTTTAGGAGGTTTTTGTTTTGTGATTTGAAACGCCTATTTCCTGAACAACCCTCCCAATAATCATAATCCTCACAACCATGTCAAATATCCACATGCCAAGTAAATTCAAACCAATATATGAACTCTTTCAGTACCTCAAACAAAATTACTATCATGTGAAATTCCTTATTTAAATTTATACTCTCACAGCCCAAATTTTCAAAATATTTTCATGTTTTATTCCATAGGTTCTGAAATCCTATTTCTGTCTTTACTCATGCTGAGTATCACTTTATTCACAAGTAGATCCCGAAGTTTTAACTATTCTGCTTGCAGATCAAGATCAAATGTGACTGCAGAAAGGGTCAAGGAATTACCCACATTTGTAACAGTTAAATTCCAGAGGAGAGACCATCAGCTAAACTCCTAGAACAATTTATACAGCATGTACAGTCACTAGTCCTGAGCAAGATAGTACCACCAGCACTTCAGAAGTCCTGGACAGCCTCATGCTAGAGAGGTTTCAGAAGCAACAGTAAGAATCTTGCAAAAATAGTATCTGTCCAGATATAATTATCTGGCATACCCTGGAAAATACTTTTGAGAGAATTTAAAGTGTTTATTTATTCTCTTTGCTGTCTCCCAATGGGAAGATAACTTATATCCCTGAGGAATCTATGCATTGTGCCTCTTCCACACATCACTTAGCAGGGTCATCTGTTACTAGCCCTTAGTGTGACACACTGAATTACAAAAAATTCCCAAGACATCTTAAGCAGTATTATTCTTATCTAGTAATACAATTTCCACAACATATTTTAAAACATTAAGTATATCAGCAGCAGAGCACTGATGTTTCCATTGGAGTAAGAATCACAATTGCCTTGCAAGCAACATAACGCAGATGAAAAAAGCTTTAAACCCAAATTTTAATCCCCTTTATCCAATTTAAGAAAGCCAAAATATAAGTCACAAAGCTATCTCAGTTGGAAAGAATAGCCAAAAAGTATGAATCTGTGAAATTTCTTAGGATAATGGGAATTTATAGACACATTTTATTCCAATCTACAAGGCATGCACTTCAAATCTGACTTCTCACATATATGTTATTTATGA